ACACCGGCCCTGGTACCTGCGTCCGGCCGGTACGCTCTGCACCTGCAGCCAGGAGTCGTCCACGGGCGGGGGCATGGGCGTGCTGACGGTGGTCGTGTTGATGTCGCCGATGATGCTGAGAGCCTCTTTCAGCGCGTGGTACATGCGCAGCATCTCGTCGCGCCGCTGCGCCTGCTCGGCAGATTCCTCCATCAGCGTGTTCACCGGCCCTGGTACCTGCGTCCGGCCGGTACGCTCTGCACCTGCAGCCAGGAGTCGTCCACGGGCGGGGGCATGGGCGTGCTGACGGTGGTCGTGTTGATGTCGCCGATGATGCTGAGAGCCTCTTTCAGCGCGTGGTACATGCGCAGCATCTCGTCGCGCCGCTGCGCCTGCTCGGCAGATTCCTCCATCAGCGTGTTCTGGTCCCCGCAGGAGTACAGGTTGGCCAGCAGCTCCGAGAAGATGAACTCCTTGGTCTGCGGACGACGGGCAAAGAGGAGAGGAGGCTGGGACCTGGCGCCTGGGCCCCCTGCCCACCCCACCGGGCCCTGCTGGACTGTGCGCTGGCCTGGGTTTAGAACTCGGAGAATCCCCCGCAGGCCCCTTTCTTCATTGGGCGACGCTGACATCCAGAGAGGAAGTCACCCGATCCAGGCCACTGTGGCTCAGAACCTAGTATGCCACCGGGACACCTGTCTACTCAACTTTGGAAGGAAGCTGATAGTTTAAAATGCTCTGGGTGTATGAGAAAGAGAGCAACATCCATAAATTTGTGCCTGGATTGGGTGAAACGTCTCTATGTGTAGGGTGTTTTTGTTTTCCTGAGATAGGGTCTTGTCACATAGCTCAGGCTGGCTTCAAACTAGCATTGATCCTCCTGAGTGCTGGGATCACAGGTGTGCGCCACCTCACTGACATTAGATTTATATTCTTAAAATATCCAGGAGAGGGCCAGGGACTTAGCTCAGTGGTGCCATCGCCTGCCTTGGAGTTTGATCCCCGGTACAACAACAACAACAACAACAACAACAACAACAAAAAGTCAGGCGTTTACTTGCCCAGGCTCTGGAATATTCAATGGCGGATGAAATCAGTTTTACCCTAATGCTTCCGTCTCATTTACTAATTGCTCAAATTTATACTGACCATCTGCCATGTGCCACACACTTTATTTGCATTTAATTCTCAACTCTGTTAATTTTTTTCTGAACTTTTAATTTTTGAGACAAGGTCTCACTGTGTAGTTCAGACTGGCCCTGAACTCACTATTTAGTCCAGGCTGGCCTCAAATTTGAGAAGATCCTCCTGCCTCAGCCACCCAAGTGGTGGGATTATAGGCGTGCACCACTGAGCCTGGCTTCAAATGTAAATTTCATGAAATCTAAATTTATTTTTTCAATGGAAACAATGTCTGAATCAGATCTGTAAAACTTTTTTTTTTTTTTTTTTGGTACCGGGGATCAAACTCAGGATCTTGCGCTTGGGAGGCAGGCAGCAGAACCACTGAGCTAAATTCCTGGCCCTGGATTTGTAAAACTTAGTATGAAAAAAGGCGTGTGAAATACCACGTTAATGTTTTCTAAATAGGTTACATGCTGAAAAATAATATTTTGGGTGTCCTGGGCTTAAATATATATATTATTAAAATTAAGAAAAACAAAAAATCTGGGTGTGGTGGTGCATGCCTGTAATCCCAGCCCTCGGGAGGCTGAGGCAGGAGGATCACTGTGAGTTTGAGACCAGCCTGGGCTACATAATGAATTACAGGGCAGTATGAACTACATACTGAGACCCTGACTCAAAGAAATAAAAAATAAAATTAAGGGTCAGGGATTTAGCTCAGTGGCACTGCACCAGACTTGCAAGTGCAAGGTCCTGAGTTCAATCCCCAGTACCGCCCCCCCCCCAAAAAAAAGAGCTCTTTTTTTTTTAAATTGTGGTATTGGGGATCACACTCAGAACCCAAGGCCTCGGACATGCAAACTGCAAACTCTACCACTAAACTACATACTCAGCCATCTTTCCACAAGGTGTGATTGAGAACTACAGTGAATGTTTAAATTTAAAAATATTATTACAGTAGATGACACACTGCCATTAACCCTCCTCAAAATACTCCCATTGGTTCCAAATAGATATATTCATCATTTGTGCCACTTGTTTTTCTTTTTCTTTTTCTTTTTTTTTTTGAGACAGGGTCTCACTATGTAGTTCAGGCTGGCCTTGAACTCCCTACATAGCCCTGGCTGGCCTGGAGCTTGTGGCAATCCTCCTGCCTCAGCATCCTGAGAGCTGGGATTACAGGTATGTGCTATCACACCAGCAAATTTTAAAAAATTTAAACACTCATTGTAGTGTTTCATCAGTACTTGCATTTTTTTTTTTTTTTTTTTTTTTGGCACCGGGGATCGAACTCAGGTCTTTGTGCTTATGAGGCAGGTGGCAGAACCACTGAGCTAAATAACCAGCCCTAGCACTTGCATTTCTTTCACCACACTACTATAAAATGTAAAATCATAGATGAAGGCCACATTCTTTTTCTCCCAGGCAGCTCTGGTCTGGCCCTGGCCTCCCTCCTAGACCTGGCTGGTTCCACAGCTCCAAGCCCCCCCAGCCCAGCCCACGACGATGCACCCACGTTGTTGATCATGAGGTGCATGATGGTCTTCGGCATGAGGTCCCGCACGGTCTTGTTGACAATGGCCATGTATGAGTCCACCAGGTTCCGGATGGTCTCCACCTGCCGCTCCAGCTGAGGGTCCATGGAATGCATGAAGCTGTCGGAGCCATTCTCCTCCGTCTCGCTGGCCTGACATTGGGGGACAGAAGGGCATCAGTGTGGCCAGGCCCAGGCTCTGAGCATCCCCGGGACCTCAGTCTGCCCACCCCGTGCCTCCCAGGACCCCAGATTCCTCTCAGTAGCTTTTGTCTCGGCTCTGACTCCAGTGCCCAGAAACTGCCTCAGTTTCCCAATGCAGACATTAGAAGAGGACATCTTCAAGCTGCCTTGCTTGAAGACCAGGCCAGAGCTGGTGCCAGGCTGCAGGCAGCTGGCAGGAGGCAAGGGTGGGCACACTCACTTTCTCTTTGTCCTGGGAGGCCAGCAGAGCCGCACCGCCGCCACCATCAGCACCACCGCCACCGCCACCGCCGCCAGGGGCACAGAAACAGAAAGACACAGAGAGGCAAAGGAGAGGGACTGAGTGCACCCGGACTCTGCACCCCAACTCTGAGGTAACTCTGGACACTGCCCAGTGAAAGGGGCGAAAGAGCGTGCAGTGGCTAGAAACGGCCATCAACCAACAGGGGTGCTAAAGTGACTGCATGGCAGGTAAGGGGCCCCGTAAAACTGTTGCTGCAGAGGGAGGGATTCTGGGGGTTCGCTCTGCTCCCACCCCAGTGCAGGCAGGGGTGGGGGGGTGCCAACTCTCTGCCAGCCACAGAAGGGCTCAGAAATATGGCATGACTGAGGGTGACGCCTTCCCCGCCCCACCCTGCCACTCACCCCAACACGCTCAGGGTACACGCCAGCCCTCAGGAAGGAGGCCTTCCAGCTGTCCACCTCCTCCTGTGTCTCGCACGCCAGTTCCAGCTGCCGATAATCCTTGTAGACATTCCTGCAAGACAGGGTGGGCAGGGAGGGAAGATGGGTGTAGTCTTGGCCTCCTTGGTGGTTAAGGGAAGGCCTGGGCTTTGGTGCTATCAGGTTCAGTCCTTTCTTTTTTCTTATTTTTGGTACTGGGGATCAAACTCAGGACCTTGTGCTTGCAAGGCAGGTGGTGGCGCCATTGAGCTGAATCCCTGGCCCTGACTTTCTTGTTTCCTAACCTTGGGACCCCACCCCACCCCGAAAGGCCACTCTCTTCTCCAGGCCTCAGTTTCATCTGGAAGATAGGTTAATAACAGTGCCAAGCTGGGTGTGGTGGCACACGCTTGCAATTCCAGCACTCAGGAGGCTGAGGCAGGAGGGCTGCTGAGAGTTTGAGGCCTGCCTGGGCTCCAAAGTGCGTTCAAGGCCAGTCTGGACTGCATAGGAAGACCTGGTCTTCAAAAACCAAAATAAAACAACAAAAATAAAAACAAGAAAATAATAGCTCCTGTCTCCTGTGGGAAGCTTCAATGAGCAATATAATGCTTAGAAAAGGCCTGAGCCTCCATAAAAGGGACACCCATAAGGCCTCCTTCAGCCCCGTCTCTGGCTTTCTCAGCACCACTCCCCAGTAGGAGAGAGAAGGGGCTGGGACAGGGAGGTGAGAGGCCCACTCTCGCCTCCGGCGCTGCGGCCACAAGGGGACTGGGTCGACCAGATCTCTTATTTGTCTCCAGTGCCTGGCGGAAGGTCTCATGCAGACCAGGCGCTAACAAGTGGCTGTGAAAGGGAGACAGGAGGAAGGGAAGAAGGCAAGGAAGAAGGAAAGACAGAAAAAACAGAAGGAGGGAAGAAAGGCAGGCGGGAGTGGAGAGGGGAGGGCGGTGATGTAACGGCGTGCCAATAGAAACTCAGTGAAGATCTGTTAGTGCAGGGCTCGGTGTGAGCCCTGGGCCAGGGGCCTCTCCTGATGCACGGACCGTGCACCCTGCTTCTCCCCGTGGGGGCGTCTGGGGCAGCACCTCTGCTCCGTGTTGAAGAGGGCGAAGATGTGCTTGCTCGACATGAAGCCCTTCTCCACATCACGCAGCTTCAGGTTGTCCACAGACAGCATGTATTTTTTCTCTTTCTCCTGTGGGCAGAGACAGGAGCCATGGGGGAGGCTGGCACCGCCACGCTTCTGTCCCTAAGAGCACTTTGTGCGGCAGGGTGCCTGGACACCAGCCTGATGAGGCCTGGCCGAGCGGCCTGGCTGGGCTGCACACCTTGCACATGCAACAGTGCCCAAGGGGCTGGTGAGGTGGCTCCCTGCCCGCCAAGAAGTCCTGGAGGCGGGCCAGGGGGTCCAGGAGGGACCAACTGCTCCGGGAACCTCTGTCGGCCTGGCCAGGCCGCCCCGACTTCACTTCCGGACTGTAAACCCAGGGGAGGGGGGCTGCCAGCCCAGTGCCCTGGCCACCCATGTGGTAGTGACCAGATACACAGCACAGGCCTGGAGTTGGGGTGTGTGCGCATGTGTGTGCGTGCACGTGTGTTTGTACATCGTGGCTGGGTGTGCACGTGTTTAGTCCTGTGCTTGTCTGGGCACGGGCACGCCCAAGCACATCACCACGCGTGTGTGGGCAAGGGTCAGATGCGGTCAGGAGTCAGCGTGATCGTGCGCGCATTCTCAGGGCGTGCGTGGCAGCTATGCACCCCTCGCGTTGTGTGGATGTCCCACGGAACCTGGTCCGTGGGGACACCTGCGTTCCGTGTGTACAAGAGGCCGGACGCGTTCGGTTTATCCAGAGTTGTGTGGAAGAGGCCATGTGTGTCCGGGAACAGACGGCTGTCGGCTGCCTCGTCCCTGGGGAGGGGTTGAGGGGTCTTGGGAAGCGTAGGAGCCCCACAGTGGGGTTCTGCAAGAGGAACCCCTACTTGCCTGCACCTATGTGGGAGGGGCGGCATCTATGGGGCTCGGGTGGGGGGCCGGTTTGGGGGACCTCGCTCCTCCATCCTGCCGTCATCCTGCCCACCCTCTCTGCCCCCTACACCCGCCTGGCCCCTGCAGTCACATAAAGCCCTCTTTATGCCAGG